ATTCTACCCTCTCTCTAAGGAAATTATCTGGATTACAGCTGCTCCAAGACAGTAACAGTAACAGACTACACTATTTAAATAATACAATATGTTACAGAGTTTACAAATTGAAGAAATAGCACTAATATGTACAATTGCTCAATTATACAAAATCAAAATATGAGCACATCAACACAGATCTAACTGCTGTATTTCACCTGCTCTCCAGCAACCAGTTAAACAAGCATGCATGCTATTCAGCTAAGAGCTAACAACTTACCACAGCTAAGTAGCTAACATTAGCTTCTGCCAACCCAACAATTAAATCGCCGTGAAAACAAATTGTTACCTTATATATCTACAACAGTACATTGTGCGACTCTCGAAACAAAGTTATTGCAATTGATCGAACAAAAATATAACGCAAAGCTGCGGAACTTACATTTAAACTTGGTTGCAACTTCAAGCTAACTCTCTGATAGCAGATCCAGTGAGCACACTTGAGAAAACGTTAGCTGTTAATTTAGCAAGTAGAGCGCCTCTAGCGGCGCTTGTGCGGGATAAAAAACAAGCCTGCCCAATGCAACGCTTTCATCAGGAGTGGAAGTCTTAACAGGCACATTTAGCCGACACGAAAGCAGAGATAACGCGGACATGTTTAAATAAATCTAACATTGTGTAAGTGCTTCTGGAAAACAGTCGTGTTCAGCCCTTCCAGCTCACAACTTGACGGCATTGGAGGAAATCACAGTTTCAGTTACTGCCATAAACACAAACAAACTCTGCAACTGCGTGATAAATATAACGACAAATAAAATATTATTTTGTGAAACATTTCCAGCTAACGCAAAGTATCATATACCTATATATTACTTGTTTGTTTATTTTTTAAAGACACCAATAATATACACACACATGCACATTCCTCACACTTACCTGCGCGATATAACTCCTCTGTCCCTTCAGTCCCCCGGTCCCGATGAAGACCCGAAATTAGCAACCACAATAAATCATTGTTTCCATGTAATATATGCTTAATGCGGTTTGTATTGGTTATCTACAGACAGTAACAGGGAGCTGCTGGCGTTTTATCAGTTGAAATTTAGCCGGGACGAAATACTAGAGGTCTGTTCAAGAGCACCACTGCTGCAGAGCTGCTACACACATTTCCCGGAAACGACCCATGTGAGCTGCTGCTAACGGCTGCTCAAAAGACAGGCTGGTTACACTGCATGCATGACTTCGACTTTAACATTAGTAAAAAGACTTTAAGAAAATAAAAAGCCCACGTCAAAACATTAACGTACCACTGAATATATTCTAACGTAACAACTTCCTCATAAAATCTTTAGTGGGGCGCTAACACTTGGTAGGCTAATTGTTATGCAGCTGTTTCAATAACGTTCTGCCTGTAATGTCTTTAAAATTGCAAATACTACTCGTGCGTGCTAAAAATGGACATTTTAAGATAAGAAAGCCTCCTTTTAAAGTTATAATAACGTTTTGATGATTACCATTGCCATTTATGTAAATGTATATAACGCACATTGTTATCAAAAGATAGCGTCAAAATAATAAGAGATTAACTTCATCCATTATTAAATTAATTTCATTTTAAGATCCATGTAAATACCCTGTCTATGGCAAGAGTTTAAGTCCCCTATTTATGGGAATAATTGTTTTGTTTATGTCATGGCGTTGTATTATATCTTAAAATCTCTTATTCATTGTCAATTCAATTCAGTTTTATTTTGTAAGGTAAAGACTCTACAATATATATAT